CCCCGGCCGGAGCTAAAGCTGAAGGGGAAACGAAGTGGGTGGTCAGCATGGAACAAGATCTAGTCACAAAATCAAATCTGGATTCTAGGGAATACCTACGACGTGGCATGCCCTTGTTGGAGGTGTCCGCTTACGGCTAAACTGTACACACAGGTGGCTAACACAATAGCTGTATGAATCTCGTTTTCCCATGACATAATGCCATATTGCTGGTGTATGGGAATAAACGGGGTCTACTGAACTAAGAACACTGTACGAGACGCCTTCTAATACACTTTTGGTCCCGTTAAGTCTTAACACACATCTCTCTCGACCACCAGAGCAGGGTTAGGGCAAAATTTCATGAACCTTTGACAGGGGAAACGGACGCAGGAGGACAGCGCGGGAGGGCAGTGCAAAATGATCTGGCGTTAAAGGCGCGCCTAGGAAGAGTCACCTTCAGAAAAAGGGGATTGATAGCTCAGTGGTAGAGCGGGAGATTGCAGCTCCACGCGCGATTATCTTCAGGTCCCGTGTTCGATCCACGGTCGGTCCTTCTCTTTTTTGAGTTTTTTTGGGCTTCGATTACTTTTTAAATGAGTATTTTACCTTATCTGGGTTGGACTAACTAACGGTTTTATAATGCGGTGGGTGGTCGGTGTTGTTGGCGTTCGGCGTCCAACAGTCAATACACTCGTGGCAATGCAGGAGGAAGTCGAAGTGCAGGACCACCAAGATCTCTCCGACTACACAGGGACTAGTCAATGTTTGGAGTCAGCCTAATTGGATTAATATAAACCGTAAATCGAGAGGTATCCACGTTCGTAATAGATCTCTGCGCTGGGAAAGGCACACCCGACCCGCCCGCCGGAAGATGTCCGTGCTGGAACAACTTAAGCCATGCTGCCTAATCGTCTAAGTCTTCCTGTCCACTATTGACATTGCCTTCTTCCTCTTATAAGGGCGTATCTACGGCCTGAAGGTATCGTGCTCTTTACTCGGTAGGCTGGTTATATGGTGCAGCTGCCTTATGCAAGGTTTCTGCGGCATGGCTCTTGTTCACCTTGATCTCATCAAGGATATCACTCACTGTCTCTAAGGTGCCCCTCCCCACTGGAACGCAGTGTATCATCGCATGTCTGCAGATTTCGCAGGTTTTCTCATCCGACAGGCCTGTCTTTAACCCCATGGCAATATGAGGACACAGTTCTGGCCCTCTGCGAAGGCAATCAGCCAGGCGACATTGATCATAGATCGCTCCTTTTAAGCTAACACACCCGTTGTACAATAGCTAACCGAGATATCGATCACAACTTACTGGCCCCGCCGAAGCACCACTTTGGATCCCCACCCCCTCTTCCTTCGTCGAGAATCTATTCCCAAGATTCCGGGCTTGGTTACCCCGGCTGAAAAGCGTGTACCCGCAGTCGTGGCCCCCAAAAGTCTTCGTTATGTGGAAGAAATGGATCCGGCTCCCCGGGCCGTCTAGCTTCCCGTTCTTGAACCGCGACAAGTAATCACCACTCCCTCGTGTTTGAGGCATAAATGGCTCTACAAGTATGTGCCGTATAGCTCGTCCAATGGCGGCTTGGTTGAGCGAGATGGATTTGATGCCCTCCGTCTCGCACCCTTTTATGACGCTGGATACGTATATGCTGATAAGGCTGCCGTGTTCAATATGGGAATTAGGACCCAGGAGCGCTATTACTGATTAACCGAGAGAACTCGAAATTCGGAGGCACTGATCAGGCTGTTGGGTGAAAATAAATGTAAGAGAGAAACAGGCGTTGCCACCATCCAGGCATATCTTGCGGGCGGTGTAAGTAATGAAAGCAAAAGATACAATACCGGGAGATAGGGTAAATGACATGAGACAGCATATATATAATAGACTTCTAGCTCTTGTCTAGGCAGGTAATCATAACCCGTAATATTCCCCGCTCTTTTGAGCGAAACACACTCGAGAATTTATCCCAGAACGCCAAAAGTCGATGCAACCTTATCCCATCCATAGACCAAACCGAGATAAAAGACTCCATGAAACGAAAACGTCATCTCCCTCCGTCATCACAAGAACATATTCCGCTGCTCCAAGTCCTTCTTAGACTCTCCTGGGGCGGTATAGTCGATCCCACTCAAGTTCGTCAGATCCTTCTCAAACGTCGCCTGGATCTTCGTGACCTGCTCCAGGCCCTTCAGGTCAATCTTCACCCCGTCGAACGCCGCCAGGCTCTCCGCGGCCTTTACCACATTCTTGATCTGCCTCCCGTTGAGATCGTGCTCCGCCAGCCGCATGATGCCCTTCTCGTCGATGTCCACGCCGCCGGGTACCCTCTTGCAGAAGTTGCGCCAGATCTCGGCGCGCGAGTCGACGCTGAGGTCGGTGTACCGGATGGGGATGTGGATGCGCGACTTGAAGGCGTCGTCGAAGGTGGTGACGCGGTTGGTGGTGAGGAAGAGGATGCCGCTGTAGTACTCCAGGACGCGGAGGAAGACGCTGACCATGGCGTTGCGGTGGATGTCGTGGAGGGAGCGGCGCTCGAGGAAGACGTCGGCCTCGTCGATGAGGAGGACGGCGCGCCAGGTGGCGGCCATGTCCATGATCCTTGTGAGCTGGACGTTAAGCTCAGTGCTAGAGATGCCCACTGATAGGACTGTTAGCATTGCAAGAGGCGAGAGGAGGAATGGGGGGGTGGCTTACAATCTCCGGACGACACCATGTACAGAGGCCGCTTCACATACTCGGCCACGCACTCTGCTGTGAGAGTCTTCCCGACACCAGGTGGGCCGTGCAGGACACAGACGAGTCCCTGCCCCTTCCCCTTCACGATATCGTCAAAGGTGTCCCTCTCCTGGCTGTGAACCGACACAAGCGCCTGCATCGTCTTCTTGACGCTCTTGTCGAGAACAAGGCTATCAAAGCAGTCCGAGTTCCACTGGATATCCTCTAGCGAGTCGACCGAGAACTCCAAGAACTTCTTCTCCGTGAACGAGTACCCCCTCGCCCTCGGGTTGGCCAGGAGCGCCTCTTCATCCGTCAACGGCCTCTGCTCCTCGGCCTCATCCTTCCCGTCCTTGTCGTCTTTCTTGGCCTTCTTGTCCTTGAAGTCGCTAACGGCGAACCAATCGTTCGGGTCGAGCCGGTGGTAGGTCTTGCAGTCGATCATCACGCGCCCGTCGGCGCTGAAGCGCGCGTAGCCGCTGCTGGTCTTCTTGAACGCGATGCCGGAGTACTGCAGGAAGTGCTGGCCGGCGTAGCGCTCGAACTTCCTGCCCCGCGCGAGAAGCTTGCTCCGGACCTCCTCCGCGTTCTCGACGATGTCGAGGGGCATGCAGCGGAGGTCAGTGAGCTTCTGGCTGCCGCTGTACTTCCTGATAGTCCCAGTCATGGTCCGGGTCCCTAGCTGCTTACCGTCAAAGTCGACGTAGAGAACGGAAATGTTCAGGCCGGGATCTTCAGCGTCTTCGTCATCGTACCAGCACCTGTTGACGCGGAATACTCGGTCCTGGTCGTCGATCTTCATGTATGCCATCGTGCCCGGGGGGAACATTGTCCAGAGATATTGGTAAGACATGACCATCATATCGCCCGACATGCACTTCTCCCAGGCGGCAATCTCCTGCTTGAAGTGCGTCTTGATCCAGTCCAGGAGAAGATTGAGGTGCGCGAGTGACTCCTTGTCGTCGGCAAACCGCTTCGTCCCCTCGGCCTCGAGCTCCTTCCGGTAGTAGAAGAGCATGTGGTACGGCGCATCGATCCTCACATCAGACGCGTCGATGGGGTCGCCGGGGTAATCGCCGATGACATCATTCAGGAGGTCCCTGATGGGCTGGGGGTTGACATAGAGCAGTGTCGTATCGAGATCGCCATCCGAGTCATACTCCCTCACCATGCAGAAGGCGAACAGGCGCCACCAATCCTTCTTCTCGGGGGGTGTGACGTCTACCTTGCGCTCGCTGAAGTACTGCTCGTCTTCGTCGTTGTAGCGGCTATCGAGATGCTTGATCTCGCACTGCATGGGCTTGTCCTCATCATCATCATCGTCCTCGACTTTGTCGATTGTCTTTTCGACCTTCTTCTCCTTGTTCCTGGAGGCCGCCGACTCTGAGGAGCATTAGATAAGTTTCGGGTTGCTATTTTGGTTGTTTAGAGGGGTTGTCTTACCGAAGAGAGAGCCGAAGGGCAGCAAGACGCTGGAGAGGAGCTTGTGGGCCATTCTGGCGGTTGACCTACAAGGCAGGATTTGGTGATTCTACTTTTACGGGTGGTGATAATGGGTAATTAACACATGAAAAGAATGATAAGTCGTGTCAAAGATATGACATGAGAAGAGGCGGGGATGGGTGTTGAAAAGGCTTGATAATAGTTAACACTCGATGCCTCAGTACCTCGTCGAAAGGGGGGAAATGACTGAATTATAAAGTATTCGAGCCTGGTTGCCTAGAGGGCGCCCCTGCGCCAGATTGAAGCCTCCAAGCAGGCAGAGGCGCACGCCAAGGCAAACATTGTCACACACCGGACAGTCACACCAGACATCCGACTGTCGTCCTGTCAGACCGCAGTAAAATGCGGCCGCCTGGGGCCGCTGATTGGACAGGTGGGCGCTGTTATTGGCCAGCGCTCAAACGAGCCTGGTGCCTAATCGGAGAGGGGCGGGGTGGAATTGACTGGACGTGGTTGGTCATTGATGGATGCTCACGGAAACTGCCTTTTTTACAGCTTGGGAAAACGGGCTCTGGTCAGGCAGCAGGCCCTGAACGATGACCAAGATAGCTTTCATGCAAGGAATGAGGGGGCGAAAGTGGGGATGAATCTGTGGCATGGGGGTGGCTGTCCTTCGCAAATTGGGTTGCCTCTTGAGGTTCTGCAGGTAATAAGAACCATAGTTGGGGCTGAACCGGGAAAGTGCATGCACTGCCACATTTCGAGGGGCTGTGGGTGGGAGAGGGAGCCTGGACCTGCTTCAATTGGGCAATGCATGCACAGGCAGGTTTGAGGCCTAATCCGGATCCTAGATTTTTACATTTCCAAGTATCATTGCCTATAGAATGGTGGCAAATGTGCGATTGAGATACCTCATTGGCATGGCGATATCTCAGGTTTGAAGTCTATCCTATCGAGGCTGCGAATGGGTTCCGATGGTTGTGATTCCCAAGTAAAGTCTTCCTAAAGGTAATAGGTAAGTCGAAAGCCACTATCTCAGATTCATTAGGACTTGAGCATGGAGTCTTTCGAAGCACTTATAAATAAGAATATCAAAATATTACTGCCTGCGCATTCCTACATCGTGCTACATCGGTTCATTAAGCTATTCCCATACTCCGTACGCGTATTCAGCTCCCATAATGTCAAGCAGACGACTCTCACCCGTCAACTCTCGCCAACACCAACCATAAACTAGTTGGCCCAACCTCCAACACCCCGGTCATCTCCACCCCCTCCAACACCTCCAACCTCTCGACCCTCCCGCCCAAGCCTCCCAGAACCCCCTCCACTCCCTCCACGCCCTTGCCCTGACCCGCCTCCGTCAGGTACGGGACCCCGACCCCCACTAC